AGTTATAGTATGAAAACTATAACAAGCACAAAATGGTTATGAGGTTGCTCCCAGGGACTGAGCCTGGGTTGAAAGAGCTAAGCTTACTAATTTAAAAGTTATAGTATGAAAACTATAACAAGCACAAAATGGTTATGAGGTTGATCCCAGGGACTGAGCCTGGGTTGAAAGAGCTAAGCTTACTAATTTAAAAGTTATAGCATGAAAACTATAACAAGCACAAAATGGTTATGAGGTTGGTCCCAGGGACTAAGCCTGGGTTGAAAGAGTTAAGCTACATTTCGTGCAAAATTGCTTCCAGATTTAACCTCATAGCACCTATTTTTTTTACAGATTTTCTAGGGTCCATGCCCCCCCCCAACTCCTGTAACATTAGCATGTTTTGCATAATATGTGTTGGCTTTTGATCTCAGAAACTAGAAATCTCCTTTCAAACATTCTGATTATGGCCTGTAGCTATATATTACAAAAAAAAATCATGATGTTTACACAGGCAGAGAAGTATTTTTTTTTCCCCGTAACTTTCTCAAAATGTTTAGAAATTTCAATTAAATTTGAAGAGTAACAGAGGACAGAACAGGTAAAAAAGGTGTGTATAATATTTTTGGTCAAATGCAGTTTTTATTGTGCTTTTAATTTCCTATTTGTTGCACAAGTTGCCTTGACTGAATTTTCAAGACTCTGACATACAAAAACAAAATAAAAAACTTGGTGTTTGTCTTAGGTAAGATGATTATTTAACTGTCACATTTGTCTTACTCTGTAAAATTATTATTATTATTCATAAATTCAAAAAGTCATAAATCATAAGCTATAGCTTGTGGCATAGAAAATAGTTTGTTACAGAAACTTATTAAGCAGTAGAATCATAAAACAATAGAAGTTTTCATAAGAAAAACCCTATTTTACTAAATGCTAAATACTTAATATCTTTTAATACTCATATACTTAACTGTTACACCATATACTATGATGTAATAATTGTCACCAATATACATTGCATGTTATGAGGTTATATATATTGTAGACATAAATATTTGTATAATTTCGATTATGAACTCAAATTCTAATATAATAGGGCTAAGTATCTAGCATTAATAGACATTGAAACATTTTTAAGCTAACACCTGTATAAGCTTAATGAATGATATTTTACTTAAGAAAGATACCAATAAAATTTAAGTTTTGAAAATAACACACTGTATGCAGGTATAAGTAATTAAGACTCCCTGAAACATACTTGTTATAACATGCAGATAACTATAAGTTTATATTACTCTACCTTTCCTTTTCTAAGCTTTTTAATCAAGCGAGCATCATGAGCTAGGTCTTCTAATTCATCATTGCTCCAACTGCAAGTCTTTCTTCTTTTCTGCTTCAGCGTATTTACTTCCTTTTTACCAAATATCTTTTCTTTACTCTTTAGTCTAGGTAACTGTAAAGGCAATGTTCTGCTTAGCATCTTTTACAGTGAAAAAATCAAAACAACAACAGAAATTCTTATTCAAAGTCCATCATTTTATTGAACACCATTTCCAATTAACTATACTATAAGAGTACATACACAAAGAAATACAAAGAAGAAAAGATATTTCAGGATATATATAATACTGTGCTTGATATTTCCCCACCACTTTTGACTGCTGACTTGCCGAATAGGGTACAGTCCACCTCCGGCCGTTGAATGCAAGTGTGCAATATACATTGTATGGCTAGCAAAAATTTCATGCTCATTTAAAACATCCACAATCAAAGAGTTAGCAATGGTGTGCAATTTTAATTCTGTTCTACTATGTACAATGATAATAACTTAAGAAAACAGAGATTCAAGCACTAAAAATAAATAGATCTAACAGATTTGCAGAATAATATTCAGTAAATCCTAACAAAATTCTTGATTTCCTTGCAAATCTAACTACAAACAAAAACTTTTAATCTATACAAGTAACATGACTTAGTGCAGACTCAGCACAAAATATTCCAGATAATAGTGCAGCAAGTAAAGTACAAGTATAAATAATTTAAAAAAAAAGTCACATAAAATGCCAAGTTCGTAGCCACATAACAGTTCTTTGCACAAAAGAATCAAGTGAGACAAGATGTATAAATATGTAAAGACGTAATGTCAAAAATGACTAAATTCAAGAAAACACATATGGCCCCTGTTTTCATTCCTGTTCCTAACAGTTCCTGTTTCAATAACTTTTGGTCAAAGGATCCTCTTTTATAACTACATTCTACACTTTGCAGATGAGGGATGGCTTAGGGAACAGTTTTGAAGCCTATCACTATATGTATACTACATGCTCTGCTGTAGGTTTTCACATGTAAAGGACACAAAAGGCTCATTTCTTCAAAATGTTGTATTCTTCGGCTCCATATCATTTAACATTATCATTACATCCTTCCTCCAGCCACAAGTCTTCCAGTGCAAAAATGACACTGTCAAATGGTCAGGAATTCATCATGAACTAATTCTATCACCCATATGCTATAGCTCACATCACCAAATTTACCAAATCATTCTTACAATGTTTAATTAACTTTCTGTATATAATAAGGTACAAAACATCTGTCAAAATATCAAATATTAAAATTTTGCTAAATGATGAACATTTACTATCATTTAATATTTTACTATAAATTCAAGGTATTTTAATTGTAGAAAGATATCAAACAGATAATAAAAATAAATTTCCAAGATGCAAGAGATTAACAATTATATGTGCCTACTATCATACAATATGTTTGTCAAAGGTTGCTTTCAAGAACAAATGGCAGAAACCCAGTGATGAAAACTTGGCTAAAGATGTATGTCATCCTTCTAAAAGCTTTTATGACCATTAAAAGAGAAGTGTTGTTTACCAAATTAAATTTCTTGCTGCCATTATTATGTTTTAAGGAAAATACTAAAAATTCACTTTGTAAGAAACAAAAGCCAAAGAATATTTTTCAAATTAGAACATTTGTTGGGCAAGGATTTATCTGGGATATATATTAATGTTTTATTATCTGTTGTAAGCATCTAAAATAAGTCTGCAGCTTTTCGCCCAATCAGAAGACTCACAGTTTGCTATCAGCTATCATAAATTACAATCAAATAAAAGTCAAAACATTACTGTTTGCATTTGTTAATTTTTCAAGCATTATTGGTCATACAATAATTAAAAAACAATAAACCCATACACTCAGCAGAAAACATTCTTGACTGTAAGAAACACTTAACAATGTTATTATAATATACTTTATATCAAGTCAGCTATCAAACAGCAATCAATACCATGAAAACTTTCCACATGATATATTAACAGCTAATGATGTGTCAATTACATTAGCATTAAATATTTTTGTTACCATTGTTCACTGATATAATTCTGTGACGCCATATAATATACTTGTATATTCAGTGATCATCAATCAGGATATGTCTTAGGTGTGAAAAAAGGTACGGTCAAAAAAGGATAGAGTGCATGAATTAAAGGAATGAAATCAAAATTGGCTGCCAAACCATTAGCTACACTTATAGGATTGATAACAATTTTACAGCAAATATTCATTCATTAATTAGCCAGGTTGCATTTTTTGTTCAACTTGGGGCATGATAGTGGGTAAAACAAGGTTTTAGTGTCTTAAATTCAAAATTTTATTAAACTACTTTTTGTTTATGTTATACCAATTAGAATAGCATAAAATCTGAGCTAATAATTCATATTTTAATAGTATACAAGTTTTAAGTTCTTAATTCTACAAGGCAATATTTTTAAAAATCCTGAATTTACACTAGTGTGACCCACATGACACATTTTGTCTCAGCATGTCATCATCCCCATTTTATCCATCACCCCTCGAAAATGTATGAAATTAAACGAAAATTACTCTCTATAAAATCGTTATTGCTCAGACAAACCATAATTTTTATAGTCTCAATTTTGTTCAGTTACAGAGCTATCAAATAGAAAATGAGACCCCTCCTGCCAAACCCACCTGTCACATCCTCTCTTTCACAATTCATTGATAGTTCTCTCTTACGTTTTATTATATATTACCTATAACCTATAAAAAGTCAAGGTTTTCATCTATCAAATGTATAACATTGTATTCTAAACAGAATATTGTCAATTTCACTCACACTATAAGATTTGTTCCCATGGGAAAGTTAACAACTAGCTTGGATGAATTTGTAATGGCTCTTGTCGCATAGTTAGAAGGCTACAAAAATTTTCAGAGGTAAGTGAATTTGTCTACTTTTTGAATGTTATTAGTCTATGTTCTTTGGAGCATTGTTTAATTAAATAAAAATTATTTTGTTCATTACTACCATTAGTATAAAAAAGTATAGTTAAGTGTCATCGAAAATCGACAGCAAGAAAAAAGAAGATTGGGTAAGTACTTTATTTCTTGGTTTTATTATAAAAGTAACTAAAATCTAATCATATGGATCTTTTTAAGTTATTTAAGACTAGATTAGATAAAATAAGTAATAATATAATTAAAATGGTTCACGAGGAATGCACGCAAGCAGCTTGTGGGTAATGTACTTCGATAGCATAACGTGAGCTGTACATTCCCCCCGAGTGATTTACAACATATAATGGCATAGATAGTAGTTAAACATGGTTCAGAGGGCAATGAAAAGGACAATAAAACAATAACATTTAATTATAAATAGATGCATAATGTTACAAACTTAGAGCTACTTAGGATAAACGAATGTAGTTTCATGTTACAATTTGAAGTCATTCTACAAAGAAAAAAATAAGAGGTTAATTTAGGTTTATTTGGATTTTTTTGTGGTTACGTGGCCGGTCGAATTGATCGATCCCGTTTGGAGATAGGGTAGAGAAAATAACATATAAACTATAAGGATTTA